GAGATAACTGGTGCAGGTGGACTCATGATGAAGCCAATGAAGTTTAAACTTCAGGGCTCTTTTCTTGCATAGGCTCTTTCTAAGACTCTGGAAGTGGCTAGCAATTTTGTGTTCATACTTTTGTTTATTTATTCTCAGAGATAGCTCTCTAAATCATGTAAACTTTAAGTCTCATGAAACCTGGCTCTAGCCCAGAGAGGTTGGGGGCCTCCCAGAGAGCCTGTGACTCCGGTGATCTCAGGAAACCTTTTGAGAAGCGCCACATTGGTGGGGCTGGAGTCTGAGATCCGCCACAGAACCTTCCGACTTTCTCTCCCACAGCCCTTCCAGCAGTTGTGAACGTGCTAACTCCCTTCATACTGGAACAGAGTGCCTTTTGTCTTCATGACCAAACCAGTCATAGCTTAAAAATGATTGCTGTCACACAATCAGATTATGATTCTTTTTCATTGTTTCACTTAATCTCAAATTTCAGACATGATGTTTTCTTTCAGTGTAAATGACAGTGAAAAAAAAATTATTTCACATAAAAAAAGTGTAAGCTTCATATTGATCAACATCAGATAGTCATAATGTAGCAATTTGACACATAGTGTGTAGTTCAGTAAGTATGTGCTAATGAGCTAGCGCATGAGTTAATGAAGAAATGGAAGACTCCGTGTGCGTCTACATCAAAGTTGTTCTCTTGTTATGATTATTAAAACAACACAAATCATGTTTGCTCTAATTAATTCTCTCTAGATTTATTTAGCACAGTACCAAGAACTCCCAGCTGCTCACTGCTGTTTTTGGATGAAAATGATGAGTAGTTTGGGGAACCATTCCAGCACAAAATTCTAGGAAATCCCAGGATGCATCTGTAATTAATTTTAGGGTCTTCCAGAGGTTGGAGACCACACCTGTTAGTTATGAATTATTTTCCAAGGGTAGATATATATATATATACATAAATATATATATATATATAATATTTTAAGGATTTGGCTATTAGATTAGCCAAATTAGATTTGGCTATTAGATCATTTCCCCCCCTTGCAATCCAGTTCTGCATAGCAATGATAATCATCTTGTTAGATAAGAAAGTCAATGGCTAGTCCTCACCAGAATAAAATCACACATATTATTTAATTGTAATTAAGGCTCACTCTTTAAAATTAAGAAATAATTTAATCACACTTAGAATTGGACCAGCAATTTTTTTTAAACACACCTGCATATAGAAAACATCACTGTATGGTCCATACTGTAGTCCAACTAAAATATGAATCTAGCATTTACATCTTTATAATTTTAAAAATATAGGTGAGTTACATTGAAAAGTCAAATATTCCATATTTTGCTTTTTTTCTCTGTCAAGTTTAACTTTTACGTTTTTTCATGGATAGAGTAAGAAAGTAAAAAGGATAGTTTTCTAATTATTGACAATGAATGTGCTGATAAGTAACTGAGTTTGGAAAGTGTGGTCTTTTGTTTTCATTTAGTAAACATTTCCTGTGTTCTACTTCGATGCTAGGTACTCTGCTAACCAGTGGAAATTGCAGTAAGGAATTATACTTGGTTGCCACCCTCCTTATGTAGCCACAAGATACACAATTCCCAGGGGAGGGGGGAAGGCAAATGGTTTAGGAGAATGGAGAACAAAAGGAGATTTTGTTGGACCAGACACTGGAGTTACATACGATAATCCCATCTACTTTCCAGGGTACCTTGGAGAAACCCTCATAAAGGAGGAAATTGACTCTGGGACATTGAATATCTAGTCCAAGTTGATTCCATTAATTAAGAGCAGCACTCGAGTGTATCCCTAGCGCTGTCTGGACCGTGGAAGCGAAGAACACCTAACAGCCCTGTATTCCCATGGTTCTTGAGTACAGGCCCTTTAGCCTGTGTTTCGCATAATCCAGTTCCATTCTCTTAAAACCAGGTGGACTCCTTAAACTGAAAATATCGTTTATTGGGTGATCTGCTTCTCTGTGGCCCTCCTCTTAGCCCTCGAAGCTAAGAGGCTCGACTGCTTAAGTTTTCACCAACTGGCAGAGGCAATTCGAGCAGAAAGTGGGGTGTGGATTTATTCTTCTCCCTCCAAGTTTAGTATTAACAGCTCGCTGTTTGTTGTCCTGTGTGTGCTTACTATCTCAGTCGTGTCCGACTCTGCGACCAGGCTCCTCTGTCCGTGGGGATTCTCCAGGCAAGAATACTGGAGTGGATTACCACGCCCTCCTCCAGGGGATCTTCCCAACCTAGGGAAAGAACCCAGGTCTCCCGCACTGCAGGCGGATTCTTTACCGTCTGAGCCACCAGGTAAGCCCTTACATTGCTGTAAACTGACGCTTACATGAATTCACCAAGGGCTGGACTTCAATATCCTCACCTGAGGCTCATAGACAAGTCAACCATACCTTTTCTTTCAGGAGGAGGTAGCCAAATAGCCTGAAGACGGTATTATTCCAGTTCTTCATTGCTGTATCTGAAACAGCTTATGGTGCTTCAGAAATGTTGAACGGTTTCACTAGAAAGGACTTAAAAGCGTACATCTGGGGAGAGAGAAGCGCCGCGTCTCCTGGATGCCCCAGTGTGCCCCTCCTGGAAGACGTGGCGAGGCAGGGGAGTCCTGCGGCCCCTGCTCCAACCTAGCAGGGCGGCCGCGCGCGCTGCGCGGAAAACTCTGGAGCAGCCAGCCAAGACCCGGCGCACCCTTGCTTTCCTTCCCTGCGCCCCATCCCGGCCCGAGCGGCGAGGGGGTGGGAAAAAGGGCAGCGGGCGCCTTTAAATGCTAATGAAGTCGATGCCCCAACTCCGGAGCCAACCCTCCCCACCCTTTCCCCTCCCCGGGCCCGCGCGCCGCCTAGAAGAACTCGTGCGGGGCCATTTTTGGGGCAGTAAGACCGAGCGCGGAGCCCCGGAGCGAGCGCGCAGCCCGAGAGCGCGAGCCGCCTCCGCCGCGAGACCCCCCCACCCAGCCCGGCCTCCGGGAGAGCGAGCCCCCGGCCGCCGCGCCCTCCAGCCGCGCCAACCGCCGACCAACCGCCACCGAGGTGCCCGAGGGACAGCGGAGGAGGCGGCATGAGCGAGGCGGGCGAGGCCACCAGCACCACCAGCACCGCCGCCGCCGCTCCCAGCAGCAGCGCCCCCATCACCACCGCCGCCGCCCTCCCGCAGGCTCCGGCGGAGGCGGCCCCCCAGGAACCTGCGCCTAAGAGCGCGGCGGGAGGCGGCGCGCCCCCGGCCCCTGCCCGGGCCGCCCTGGTCGCGGGTGGCGCGGCGCTGCCGGCCGCCCGAGCGCCCCTGGGCTCTCAAGTTGGGGGTCTTAACTGGGGGTCCCCTAGGAGGGCGCTGTCGCGCAGTCCCGTGGCGAAGCATCCCTGGGTGCCGAGGGGAAAGAAGCGCAGTCGGGAGAGACGATCCAGGGTGGGATGGAAGTGGATGTAGGAATGGGACAGGCACCCACGTGGCACGGGAACTTTGGAGTCCTCGCTTAGGATCTGGGCGAGGAGAGCGTTTCCTTGGAGGGAAGAGGAAGGCGCCCGGAGTAGACAGGGCAGGGGTGGGGGAGTTGGTGGTGGTGGAAAGGCTTCTTGCTCGGAAGGCTCAGGTGTCCGTCCCAGACGCCCTTCTCACGGGGGCGCGGGAACTAGGCCAGGCTTCTGTCGGCCACATGCTGGCCGAGGGGTGTTGCAATCCCTCTCCGGGAAAACTTGGGTCTCGGTCCCGCGTCCTCCTCCCTCGCCCTGCCCGCTGCTGCAAGAAACACTTGGTGTTTACCAATCACTCTCGTCTTCCCGGATTGTGGGAAAGCGCTTGGTGCAGCAGCTGAAAAAACTTGGTCGGAAGTGAGGGGGTGACGTTAGTTCGCAGCCTTGGGTATCTTGGGGACTTGTAACTTAGGAAGGGGAATCGGAAGAGGAGATGTTCAGGTCCCGGGGGCAGAACGTTACAAAGGATGTCTGTAGTCATTGTTGGTTTTGTCACGTATCCCAGCGTCCTCTCATTCAATAACGTTAACGCCCTGTGTGAGGCCTAAGCAGTGGGTGGGGAATAAGGTCTCTAAAGGGTGTGTGGTGTGTGTATCTCATTCTGCCCCCCCCCCCCCCCCGCCTTTTTTTTAAAACCAGGGAAGGTTAAGAAATGGTATAAGATGCTTCTGAGAAATTTTCAGTATTTTGCATGGGACATGCTTGGTGTCTGTGAGCCTTGCCTGCCCAATTTTCTAGGAAGAAAATTTTATAGGCAGAAACTTGGAGGAATCATATGAAGAAAGTTTAATACGATCAACATTTTCCCTGCCTTGAGAGGCCTGTGTTCATTTTTTTTTTAAAGGGTTAGATTTTACTCAGTTACTGTCAAACGAGGTGCTAAATGTTAACATGTGCAGGTTANGAGGTGCTAAATGTAACATGTGCAGGTTAAGAAATAAAATAGCCTTCATTTCTCTAGGCTAAAAGTTGCTCCAGTCTAGTCCAGGTTGTATTGTGATATTGTTTTCAACAAGTGTTTCTTGGAACACTTCCCATGCCAAATGTCAACAGAGACAACCTTGGTTTATCCGAAGCAGTGTTAGGATATGTTCTTTAATTTGATTTATTTTCGTATAAAGGAAATTTCTCAGTTTTTCTCTGGATCCCTGTATCTTTCTTGAATCTAAACTGAACTTTAAACTGCAGTAGATATATCTTTAAAGATGAAGGAATTAGATAAATTAATTTACTCAGCCACCAACTGCTCTGACAGTCCCAGCACATCCCCGGTGGTGAGGTTGTAGGTCTTGGGTCTTTTCACCGTCACTCCCAAATCTCAACAACAAGGACAGCCTTCTGCCTGACATTTCAACACTGTCTCTGTCCAGTATGTTCTGCCATCTCCTGTCCTTAGCCAAGCGGACACATGGTACTTACAATGTGCCAGGCGCAGTGCTGACTGAAATGGAATTCTGGTTTGGGATTCTTGTATTCTAGTTCTTAGAAAAGTTCTAAACTTCGGTGTATAGCCACAGGCCAGGGGAAGCAGTTGCCATGACTGAAGGAAAACTTCCCTCTTAATGAACCTCATGGAAGCTTGTTGGTCTTCCTCCTTTCCCCATCCAGCTCTGTGTATGTGAAGTGAGTTTATGGGCTTAAACCAAGAAGAGAGGATGACTGTGTTTGGCCTTGTGAGGTCACTGGAAATATTTGTGAAATTAGGAAAGTTTTAAAAACTAAAGTGGGAATAAAAATAACCTTCCACCTGGATTGAAGTTATCCTTGAAAATCACTTTCATCTTTCTCCTTATTAGTGTTGCTTTTCTAATCACGATTATGCCTTTGACAGTGCCAGTAGATGTTAATTATATGAAAATGAATAAAAAAGAATTCCTACCTTTATATTTTGCTTATGTTTTTCTAGTTCATTAATTTTGGGGCAAATGAGACAAACAGCATATCATTTGAAATAATGTGAGATTTAAAAGTATATGGTTGATCAAAACCAGTCTTCTGTGTACATTTAGATCTAAAATATATATTTTTTTCCCTCTTTGCCCTGTTGCTCTAATTAAAATGCCCTAAAACCGAAGGTATTAATAGTTTAGTCTTTATTGGAGAGAGATCTTCTTTAGTTGGCATAAGAACTGGAGATTGCTCAGTGGATGGTGGGCCGAATGACTTTGAAGGCAGAAAGAGTTTTTCGTTTGTGTTTTCTTTTTATAAAGAGAGCTAAACTATTTCCCCAAGCATATTCATGTAGCAAAACTCAGAACTAACCCTGCCCATAGCAAAGTAGGCCCTAATTACTGTTTTCCTCTTGAATTTAAAAGCTGAATCTTTATTATTTTTCCTTGGGAATTAAAAATGTTGTATCTTGTGGTTAATTGTTATTTTCTCTCCTAAGCTTTTTTCTTTATTAAAGATACTCTATTGCCACATTTCCTGTCTCACTGAATTTTGATAATTGCTTTATGCTTTTCCTGAATTTAGACCTGGGCATTTCATAGAGGTGCTGGATTTGGTATTCACAGTTGATTCAGAGGAGTAATCTAAAATCATAAATGCCTAAAATAAACATAAATCTGTGACGTACAGGTTCCATGACCATACTATTGGTTTAGATTTCTTCTCGAGTTCTGTTAAGACCTTACATTGTACAGAAATGGTCCTGTTACATGGGCAAGTAGAGTCAGCAATCACATTGGGAGGGTTATAAGAAAATGCTGATAAGAATTTGGTTTATAGGAAAAACCAAAATCAGTTTGGTTTGATTCCCACCAAATGGAGAGAGCAGGATAAACAATGAAACAGAATCCCAAATTCATCACAGGTTTGAAAAGGCCTGTTGCATCATGTCTCGGGGTGGTAAGAACAGAACTGGCCTGAGCCCGCCTCACTTCTATTATTACTCTGGACTCCTCTGATGGGCCCCCGTCTGGCATCAGGACAAGTTTCTTCAGGTCTCTGTAGATTAGCTATTAACAAGGAGCTACTCTTTCACTATGTTGAGTTTGCCGACTGTTTCAAAGTGTGAAAGTGATGTGTCAGGTCGTCGGGGCTCACCTTGCTAATGTGTCTATAGTCACTTTCGTCGAGAGCTGCGTTCAGCACTTAGAACATTTTTCTGCTGTAAAACTTTAAAGAGTATGTTTTCATTTTTTTTCCCCTTCAGCAGTGTTTCTCAATTTTAATCACTGCAGAATCATATAGACTTATGACAACACCTTATCTCAGGGCTTCACTGAAACATTTCCCAAGGAAGAAAGGTTTAGTCTTCTGAAGAGTAGTTCCCTGTGACAACTTCACTTCCTCCATTTTCTTCTCTCGGTAAACTCTGGAGTTAAGCTTTTAATGGTTTCCTCAGGTATATTTAGGCTTTAAATAATGCTATCAAGACCTTAGTGGTATGAGCTTTATCTCTTTGTAGGTCAGATACTAATTTATCTGCTTAATCCTATTTTAGCCACCAAAGTCCTTGGCACTGTCAAATGGTTCAACGTCAGAAATGGATATGGATTTATAAATCGGTATGTGTGTGTGTATCTCTGCATGTTTTATTTGAATATGTCCTGTCCTGTGGCACCTGCCGTTGGTGTCTTTTCCCATACTTTATTAATGATTTGTGTAAGTTTTCAGATTTTCGAGCCGTGTAAATACTCTCATTTCTAAGCTACTGATCATTAAACATTAATTGGAATGCATTTCTAAAACACGGATAACTAACTTATTTTATATAATCTGGTCATTAAAAGAAAAAAACAGTGGTGGTGGGGACAATAGAGACAGGGGAAGGGCCTTAAGATAATTGAGTGGGTATCCACAATTTCACAGATGGAGCAGTGGAATCCTAGACTGGTTAAGCAACTTTCCTCAGGTCACACAACTAGTGAGTAATTGAGCTGGATCTGTAACCCAGGTCTGGTCCAAGTCCTGTGGAGAAACCACAGTGTTTTCTTTAAACCATGGTAACTTCTAACCATATAGGAATGAGAACACAGCTGCAAGTGGTGAGAGTGTTCTGATGTTTTTATATGATACCATCATTTTCTCTAGCCCTCCTAGCTAGGACCCCGCCTTCTTAAAAAAAAAAATTCCTCTAATTTCTTCCTTGTATGTTTTGGTGGGCAGTGGGGGTGGGGTGGGGGTTTAGGGTCGGGTGGTGGTGGAGAGGGGGTTGTTTTAGGTTTCAGTGTAAGGAGAGCCTAGTTCACAGCTGTGCCCTGTCCTTTTAACTGTCTTGCTTTGCTTTTTGCTGGGAGGGAAACCTCGGGCTCTGGTTACACACCATGTGATTTAGAGAGAGGTGAGAGGAAACGGGTGTTTCAGTAGGTTGACTGTGTGTGCGTGAAGCCAGGCACCACTGTTGTGGAGGAGTAAGGTGGGTCCCTTTGGGGTTCAGAAGTTTTTAAGGAGGATTGACTTGAGGCATCTGAGTTTAGAGGACAGACAGACATCTATGTTGTGTTTTGAAGTCCTAGGCTCTAGACTGTTGTTTTAAGTTTTCCCACTTACCTAGTCCCTTTAACTGTGAGCTTTTTGTCTTCCAACAGAAATGACACCAAAGAAGATGTATTTGTACATCAGGTAAGAGGGACGATAACTGTGACCTTTGCTCTCTGAGGAGAGGGGCGTCTGTAATGTGCTGTTATTATCTCTTTCCCAAAGTGAAGCCCTGCACGTTGCTATTCTGCTCGAAACTCCTTCTGGGGTTTTATTTTGGCAAGAGGGCCCAGTTCCACATTTTTAGATTAGCACTTAAGCTCTTCTCTTCCATCACATTAACTGTTTTCAGACGGTTTTTATTTTTTGAGCTTAATGAAGTAATAATCAGACCACTTGCTAATTTTTAAAGCCTTCGAGTCTTTAGCTAAAGCACTCCTATTTCCATGTTAGCAGCCTGTGCGCCTGACTGTGTTTCCTCCTTGTGTTTGGCTGGGCCCCACCTTACCTTTGCCCGGGTGGGTGCTGGTTAAACCCCCCTTCATCAGAGCAACTTGAACTTGGGTAAATAGCACAGCGAAGCAGATGGCTGGAATGCATGTATCCAAGACATGGGGGCTTTCCAGGAGGCTCAGGGGTAAAGAATCCACCTGCCAATGCAGGAGACTCGGGTTCAATCCCTGGGTGGGGAAGACCCCTTGGAGAAGGAAATGGCAACCCACTTCAGTATTCTTGCCTGGGAAATCCCATGAGCAGAGGAGCCTGGTGGGCTATGGTCCGTGGGGTACAGAAGAGTTGGACAAGACTTAGCAACTGAACACAAGCAAGATCCAAGATATAAGGAGACTCCAACTCCCAGGCCAGTCCCCTCCTCTGTCCTGCTTAGCACATGTCCAGATCAAATAGGCCTGTAGTCCCCCTGTATTCAAAGGAGATGTAGAAAAAGTGTAAAATACGGAAAACATGGACTTCTGTGTACAGGAAGCTCAGTCTTTTTCTACATTATTGACCTAGGATGTTATTCTGTATCCTGGACTTGCTTGGCAAAGGAGGTTAAAAGCATTACGTGCATTTAGTTTTCTTTTTGTATGGTTAGTTTTCAGTGAATTGTCTCACATATGTGTGGTTCTCAGTGAATAACAGCGAAGAAGTACAGAGACAGGTCCCAAAACCAGCACGGTCACCTCCGGGGCTCTGTCGAGCATCTGGTTTTCTGTGTTTTAATGCTACTTAAGATCCTCTGCATTATGGGGTAGAGTTCGGTGCCTGGAGAGAGTGCTCTCTCAGGAGAAGCTCTCCCCTTGTGGTTTCTATCAGTTATATTCCAGTTGTGCCTGGGTCACTGGAGTGGATTACTTTGTTCAGACACAGTGACTTTTAAAGTCACAACAGACCAAAAGGGAGTGTTGCTTATAACACCTAGAGGGTGATAGAGTTTTTTGGGTAAGCACTCTGCCTTCTGGTGACTGCTGGCATAAAGGGACCTCAGAAGGGTCTGTGCCAGCGGCCAGCCTCGCTGGCCTGTGAGTGTGTGACCTGATTCCAGCCCCCTGTGAGGCTGGGTGGTGAGTCACCTCGGTGTGCTGAGGCTTGCCCAGTTTAACAGGAAAAAGGGAACCAGCCGGTAGGGAGGGGCTGTTTTTGGACTGGCTGAATGTTCAGGCAGCCTGCGCGTACATCCTCTCCTGAACTGCCTTTTTCCTCTGTGGGTGAGGTCTCGGCCTTACTGGCTCATTCTTTTTTTTTTCCCTCCCTCCTACTCAGAGTAAGGGAAGGGCTAGATTACACATGTCTAATCGCTTTATAAAATAAGGCTGACCTAGTTCCATAGAAACCCAGAGCCCCTTTAACTGTTTAGAGATACCAGCCTACGAAATGGGAATTCATTGCAGGAATTATTTTCTTCCCTCCATTGATTGAAAAAGAGAAGCCTGTTCGTAAGCAGGTATTTAGGTACCCATGTTCACTGCAAAATAACGTCATTAACCTTTCAGTGTTATTTATCAGGGAGCGCATAGGGATGAGCTGACATGTGAATGATGTGATGAGAAAAATTTGAATAAATATCACACAGTTATAGTACAGGGTATACACTCCCCCACCCACCCGCCTCCTTCCCCAGGCTGTATTTTTATAAACTCAGATAAATCACTTATCAGCCTCCAGTTGGTTTCCTCATCTGTAAAATGGGAGAGGACAAGGTTATCAGCAGTGTTTTGTTCTTGAGGTATTTTCATATATTGTCAGAAATATTTATCCTCCCTTAGATTTTTAAAATTTCTTTTGAGGTTAGCAGTTTCTCTTGTCCACTGAAGTCTCTGTCCCCATATTTCTGTGTTTATGTGCATGTGTAAAATTTTATGGAGGTATCCCCCATCCCACAGCCCCCACAATGATGGAAAATAGAGTCTGATCCAAGACACTTCATAGTGTGAGGAAACGCATCTATCCAGTATCTATCCAGCACCTATCCAGTATCATGATTAGTTCATCAGTATAACTGCACTTTCTATTTGACCCACCTACCAAGATGAATTTTGAAGGATAACATGAAATCAAGAAAGTAATGTGGAACATAGTTGAATAGTGTTTTTTTTGTTTTGCTGTTGTTTTGAAGATGCAGGTTAGTTGGGAGAACGGATCAGGGCTTCCCTGCTGGCTTAGTGGTAAAGAACCCGCCTGCTCATGCAGGAGACGCAGGTTCCATCCCTGGGTCAGGAAGATGCCTAGAGGAAGAAATCGCTACCCACTCCAGTATTTTTTCCTGGGAAACACCATGGACAGAGGAGTGTTGTGCGCTGCAGTTCATGAGACCACAAAGAGTCTGACACGACTTAGCGACTAAACAACAACGTTAGATCAACAATTTCTTCAGTAGAGCCAATAATCTTGAAAGGGATGAACTCTGTGACCAACTTTGACCTATGCTTCATTCAGAATTTTTTTTAATCTTGACAGACTGCCATCAAGAAAAATAACCCACGGAAATACCTGCGCAGTGTAGGAGATGGAGAAACCGTAGAGTTTGATGTGGTTGAAGGAGAGAAGGTGAGAGGAGATTGTGGTTGGGTATCCAGGGTGCTGACATTATTTTCTCGCTTAGTAAATGGTCTCTCAGTCCTTTATGAGTTAACAGTACTTTGGATTTTTACTATGACAGAAAGAAGTGACTCTTTAAGTAAAAGTATTTCTGATTATTGACTGTCATAGGCATTGTTTGACGAGTATTAACGGATATTTTAATTTCCATTTTAATAAATGATGAACCCTATTTAATCATGGAAGGAAAAGCTAATTTCTGAAGATTTAAAATGACAAATCTTATTTTGGTACCAAGTGTATTCTCAAGTGAAATTTAAAATTAAAACAGGGCTTTCCTGGTGGCTTGGTGCTAAAAAATCCACCTGCTAGTGCAGCAGACATGGGTTCGATCCCTGATCTGGGCAGATCCCAAGTGCTGCAGAGAAACTGAACCTGTGCACCATGGCTATTGGGCCTGTGCTCTGGAGCCCTGGAGCCGGAACTGCTGAAGCCCGCACACCCTCCTGGAGCCCATGTCCTGCAGCAAGAGAAGCCACGGCAGCGAGAAGCCCGTGCACAGCTAGAGCTTAGCTGCTGCTTGCTGCAACTAGAGAAAGCTCATGTGCAGTGATGAGGACCCAAGGCAGCCAAAAATAAATACATAAATAAAGTTTTAAAAATTAAGATAGTTTTCTAGTAGTAAAAATTGATAAAAGCTGTTTTGGGGTGGAAGATACCTTTTTTTTTTTTTTTAAAGAATAAAATCAAATATAATCATTATGTTTTCTCTTTGGCTTGGGTTTTGAAAAGCCAGAGGCATCTTGACAGACTGTATAACCGCTATCTTCAGATGAAGAATAACCCAGGAAACTAAAAGGATCATTTTGATGTGCATCGACAGGTTTTTTATGCTGTGATATGTTTAATTCTAATATTACTAATGTCTTTTATGCTTTATTTTTTAATTATAAGCTGACTAGTTCACTCCCAGATGATTGTTCTTCTGATATACACACCATTCATTCCATAATTCCTATTCTTAGCAGCTCTCAAACTGCTTCCTGTTTTAAAAGAGAAACACTTTATTCCATCTCATATAAAAATTTAAGTGATCTTTACCAGTGTGATCCCAGGGTATCTTGCAGATCTTTCAGAGTTCCAAGTTATCTACCAGCAAATGCTGACCTGTAACAATCCCTGATGTCCCATCCAACTATTAAAATTTGTTTAGCCAGGTTAATTTTACTTCTGTGTATTTTCAGTATATGAGGTTATACAAATGGACTTAGAGTGGAGTTTCACTCTTTTGAATCTCCTATGCCCGAACTTTTTGTTTTTGAAGAGTTACTTTATCCGCTTGTCCATAGAGAATCTGAAGGCTCTGTCTGTTTCAACAATAAGACGATTTAAAGAGGGACTACTTTTGTGGACACTGTGTATGAAAGCAGGCACTGAGTCAGTGGCCCTTCATTCCTGCCCCTGCCACAGTGGGAAGAATTTCCCTCTCACTAGCTCAGTGCTGGCAGACCACGTGAGCCCATGAGTGGATTGTCTTGGTACCTCACAGAGTAACAGGTTTCAGTATTTTCCAGGAAGAGAACATTATCTCAGTTATTTCCAGTGAAGAGTATTCTTCCTGGTCTAGCATTCCTTTGCTCCAGTTGCTTTATATTTACCAGTTTTACTCTCTTGAATCAAGAGAGTAAAGCTTGTGGAAGCAAGCAAGCTGTATATACATATATTATTTTTTAAACTTTTATTTTACATTGCAGCATAGTTGATAAACAGTGTTGTGTCAGTGTCAGGTGTCATGCTGTATACATTTAAATCAGGACATCAAGCATCTTGCTCACCTTTATTAAAACGAGGGTGTGTTTTTGAGGTCATCGGAGGAACTTCTAGTACCTCCTGCCAGTCTTAAACCCTCTGGCTGTCTAAGGCGGTGCTTTTGGTTATTGGCTTCTTTCTGACTCGAAGGCCATCTTTGCTTTCTTCCTTTCTCAGGGTGCAGAAGCAGCCAATGTGACTGGCCCGGATGGCGTTCCAGTGGAAGGGAGCCGATATGCTGCTGACCGGCGTCGCTACAGACGTGGCTACTACGGCAGGCGCCGTGGACCGCCCCGCAGTGTACGTTGTCTCTTTCATCATCAGTGACCCAAGAAATGTGCACATCTAAAATTAAGTGTGTATACTTGGAGCACATAAATGGCTGTATCTTCTGGAAACACAGTGATTTTTTTGGATGGGAAATTTTTTGTGTTCAGAATTTATCCCCATTGGTCTTACGGGACATTTTTGCCATTCAGCAGTTTTATCAGTTTGTTTGCATTTGGCTGCAAGTAACAGCCATTTAATTATCTTGTAACAGGAAGGCTTAATTATGGTGGGCCATGCCAAAGTTGTTAAAAAAGTTTTCTCTTCTTTTGGCTCCTTTATCGGCCAGAACCGAACTGGGTGGGGTTGGGGGAAGGGGCCAGGGACTTCTGTAATTGGCTTACATCTGTTGTTCATCCCTTGGCGCTGACCCTGTTCCTTTCTAAGAAAGTCAGCCTTTCCTTGGCAAGGAAGAATGAGGAACAGCTCTGGAGTAAGTGATGGACAGTGCTGGCCACAGAAATATTAAGTGATTTGCCTCAATTATGTAGCTGTTTTATTTAGCATAGCATTTCCCATTATTTCAAAGTTAAGCAATAATAAACTCTCTGGATTTTTAGTCCTGTAGATTGGTACCAATCTAAGTGAAAGGGTTTACAGCCAAGTCTGGCTGGAGCTTTCTTAGGAGGCTCAGTTTAAAATATTCTTGAGGCATCCAACTTGTGGTCATGAGGAACCTCTTAGATATGAGTCATTTTTCGATGTTTCTAGAATTAGTACCTGGGATTGATTGGTACTCTGGAATAAAACTCAACATGCTTTGTGAACACAGGATTGTGGCTATGTGCATCATCCAGGGAAAACTTTTGAAAAAAATCTCACCAGAATGAAGTATTTGCAGATTGAGAATGGTTTATATCTCTATACTTGGATAGAATAGTATTTTTCTGCTTACCTAAATGCTTCCTCTCTTCATTGTGTCATCCTAAACATGTAGCCAAATTGTTTTTTATCAGATTCCATGTGGTATCTTGTTTTTCTTCCTGTATTTCTCTTAGCCATGTTTTGTTTATCCTGTTTTATTTTTAATAACAAACTGTGTCAGAGACAGTAGGAATAGGCTACCATAGCATTTACTACATCATGTTAACTCTTTCAGTTTCACCAGATTCATGGAACACTAGTTGTAATTGTTTTGATTTCTAGGTTAACTCAGAAGTACAAGTGGTAAAAAGCCTTTAGTGAAAAATTTTCCTTCAAAGACGTTTCTCCTCAGCTTGAAATTCTGAAGCCATGTATGTGATGTTTAGAAACAAAATTATCAAAATTCTGAAAATAAACATAAATGAAGGTTTTCTGTTGTGATGTCTTGTAGGTCCTGACAGCTTCCTGAGTGTGTTTGGCAATAGTGGTGCCATTGTTCTTATTTTGTAAAACTAATCTTAATGAAAGATTTGTCTATAGAAAACTCAGATACAGAGAAACCTAAAGAGAAAAACAATTTACAGTTTATTCAGTCACACTATTTGGGGGAACATTTTCTATGCTAATATGCCTTTAAATCATTGGGGATTATATCTGATACAGATTTTATGAAGTATAGAGTTACTTGGATTTTCTGAAATTAGACTAGTTGAGGCTATACTTGAAGCTTTTCCTCTTTGAGAATTTCATTGCTCATGTGGGCTTGGTTTTCTGGAGGGTTCTAAATCTTAAATACTCTCACCCCCAACGTCAGTCATTTAATTTTCTTCATTCTAAATTTGTTCATTTTTTAAAAACTCTAGTTACTTCCCTTAAGACTACCTTTGGCATTGCAATCCCCCTTTAAAGTAAGATTTGAAATAAATTCTTTAAGGGATGTTTAGTTGTTTACTTATATTTTTTGGTATAAAATGTTAGTATGTGAAATGGTAGTTTAAATATAGGAAAAAGGTAAAATGATTCAATAGTTCCTTGTGTTAATAAGGTTTATTATATTCAGAAACTGTATTTATTACTTGCTACTATGTATTAAAGTGGAGTTAAAACTTTAGTCCTAAACAAATAGAGGTATGCCATAAGTCAGTGGTTCTCAAACCTTCTGGTTTTTGGACCCATTTATATGCTTAATTATGGAATCCCAGAGTTTTATGTATGTTTATATCTATTAATATTTATTATATTGGAAAGTAAAGCAGAATTTTAAAGATTTAATTTATTTTAAAATAAGCTATTACTTGTAAATACAAATAACTTTTTTTTTTTTAATGAAAGCTATTTTTTATTTGAGTGAAAAGAGTGGTGCTGCTTTAGGTTTTTGCCAGTCACTGATGTTGGGTTAATAAAAGACAGCTGGATTCTCACAGCTCCTTCTGCCTTGGGGCTATGAGGGACCAGTGTCACTGTAGCTTCTGGGAGATCCAACCCCCCTTCTGCCCCCAACTCAGGAGAGAATGAGATGGGAAAATACAGCATCCTGCCAGCCTTAAGAGAATAGTTTGACCTTGATGACCCCCTCAGAAGGATTTCAGAGACCCCCATCCACACTTTGAGAACCCAACCACTCCAGGAAGCAAACTACGTAGGATCAACCACAGAATATACAAAATATATTTTTCTTGACTTTGCCCCAGTGGATGGCCAGTGCTGGGGAGACATATTTGGCGGAGCCAAATATTCTAAACTCTGTAAATGTTTTTTGGGTGGTTAGTCAACTGATACCAGTTCTAACTAGATGCAAACTAAATTCTTTAGCGATTAATTGCACTTGCTTTTCCGCTTCTTGGTATTTTATCTGCACAGATCTGCTTTAATCTTAATGTAGCTTATCTCAGGTCATCGCCTGATGATCAGGGGTAAATGCATTTTTGTCGATATACTAGAAGAGATCGTTCCGTTGGGGGAATTTTTTTTCTTTCGTTGATATACTCAGCTTAAATGGTATTCTTTGCTTCTTTCCCTGCCATCACCGCCTCTGAACCTCTGTTTCTTTGCTTCGCTAGTACGCTGGGGAGGAGGAGGAGGAAGGGAGCGGCAGCAGTGAAGGACTGGAGGCCCCCGCCGCTGCCGGGCAGTTCTCTGGGGCCCGGAGTCAGCCGCGCCGCCCCCAGTACCGCCCCCAGTACCGGCGGCGCTTCCCGCCTTACCACGTGGGACAGACCTTTGACCGCCGCTCCCGGGTCTTCCCCCATCCCAGCAGAATGCAGGTAAACCAGCACCTGGGACTTCTCTCCGGCAGTCCTCACCCCTCCGTCCTTCCTCTGCCTCCTCTTCCTCCTCCTCTTCCAATGCCAGCGGCCGGAAATCAAACCTTGCTTTTGGCTTCCCGATGCTGATGCTACTTAACCCAAGCAGACCTGTCTGCTTGCTGAGAACGTTCCTTCTAGTCTCATTTCTAAAAGCACGACCACATGAACCTTGAGCCTTGCCTATCTATACCCAGGGACCCTGGTGGACAAAGTACAGTCTCAAGTTTATGGAAAAAATGAAAGACATAAAGTAGGGACAAGTGAGGGAGCTGAACTCTGAAGTCAGTCAGGCCTAGGTTTGGGTCTTATCTCTGCTACTGACTGTGAGCTTGTGAGATTAACTTGTCCATCCATTAAATGGGGATAGTTGCCTCCAACTTGGGGCTGTGATGATAAAATCCAAGATAAAGACTGTAGTGTGTGACAACTCAGGATGGAGGGTGTCTATAAAAGTCCTTAATTTAGATGAGATAATGTTGATGATTAAGGAAACCTCATAGGAAAGTGGAGATGATTGTCCCTTTTTTTCTTTTTTTACTGCAAAATACTGATACATTTATTGTGAACTTGACCTGTAATTAATAAGCCTTTCACCAACTTTGCAGTTCCCAGGAAACTTGGAAATCTTGGGAGAGGACCTCATTTTTGGTACCACTAGCTTACACCTTCTTCCTGTTAGTCTCCTTGGTTTTTGTTTGTCCACTGAGTGTTTTTACTGAACATTGTGTTCAGTCTGTTCTTTGCTGCCCTTTTCCTATCCTATCATGCATGACTGTGTTCTTCCTACATTGCTTCTTGTTTTTTTTTTCCCCTTCTACTCTTTAACAGCTGTCCCTGACAAATGTGCTAAAAATAGCAAGTAGCCTTACTTATATGGAGACATTGGGTACATGAGGCATAGTAGGTTTCTTTAGGGCAGCATCCTGGGCCTCTAGGAAATGAGGACAGGAAGAGTCAGGGAGACTACGACACACATTTATTTTTAGGGAGTCAGTAATGCCTTCCTAAAATAATCCTTTTTCATGTTTAGCATATACATATGTAGCGTTTTTTTTTTTTTGAGAATATGGTTTTTGAGAATATTGGTTCTTTCAACCTATATTTCAACCAATATTGGTTGAAAGAAAAGTATATTTCACCTTAGGAATAGGAGGTTCAGAGCAAAGGGATTCTTGTGTGCTATGCAGAAAAGCAGGTTGAAAACTAATTTTGAAAATGTGTGCATATTCAGGTAACTGCATTTTAGTTGTCTTAACCTGGGTTGAAATTCTTATTTATTTAGTAGCTAAAATAAGAGCCTCAGCCGCTTTTCCTGAGAACCCGTCTAATACATACTATGTTAATTGACAGAAGTCAGCTTAAGTCAACCAACAGCACCAAATGAAGGTTTCTAAAACTTTCCAGGTTGTCTGTGTTCAGTTCAGTTCAGTCGCTCAGTTGTGTCTGACTCTTTGCGACCCCATGAACCGCAGCACGCCAGTCCTCCCTGTCCATCACCAACTCCCGGAGTTCACCCAAACTCATGTCCATTGAGTCAGTGATGTAATGGCTTAAAAATATGGAGAGATCTCTGAAGTGGTAAAGATTGTGGAGATCAAATAGAAAAATCTTTGCCCACACTTGTACAAAACCATGAAATTTATTGGACACAACAGAAAGAAAATGATAATATGCCAGCCAGTAGTATTTCCCTTGTGTACCGAGGATGTCGTTATAGCGTGATATAGCCGTGTCCAAATGACTTCCCTTTTTCAAAGATAATAATTCTCAATATTTGGCAAATAAGTCACGGCAGTTACTGAGCTGATATCAACTGTTTGTCATCTGCGAGAAGAGAAGTATATGACAGAGGAAAAGGAGCAGCATTGTCTGGCCTCCACCAAGAGACAGATGTTTGAAATCAGTTCTTAGTTTTCCCTACAGCTTTATGGAGTTGGCAGTGGCGTCCGTATTTTTGTTGTTGTTGTTACAAGTGAAGGGATTTGAGTAGTTTTAAGAAATTAGCAACTTTTACCTAAGGTAACATGGATGGTAGACTTTGGTTTAAACTCGATCTGTCTAGTCTCCTGTTCTGTCATTCTAGTAAATGTTCATCCTTTATATGTGTTCCTTTCTGTGTGTGTGTGTGTGTGTGTGTGTGTGTGTGAATCGAAGTTCCTGAAGAAGCAGCAGCTTTGCTTGTTCAGAGAACTAAGGGAGGCTCATGTGGTTGGAATGTTATGGGTGAATAGAGGGGTAAGAGGTTAGATTAAGGTAGCATCAGGGCAGATTAGGCATGCCTACTGTAGACCATAATAAGAATTGTTGACCTACCCTCAATGTGATGAAAAACTAGTTAAGGGATCTAAACAGGGGAGGAAACGTATTTGAGAAATCACCAGTTTAAGGAGGCTGGGCCACAGGAGGCAGCAGCAGAATTAGGGAGACCAGCTCCCTCATTTGCCCTATGAGGGGCAGTCAGGGCAGGAATTAAGAGTGCTAGCGGTGGAGGTGTGAGGAGTGGTCACATTTAGGAAGTGACAGCATCTGATGATGGAGTGAACATGTGGTGTTAGGAGAAAGTGAAGGAAGACCAGGTTTGGGCAGAGAGACAGAAAGCATTTGGAGATCTTCTGGACACATTAAATATCACCTCCAAGGGGAGAGAAGTGAACTTGACAGAAAAATAAAAGAGGCAAGAGGCAGAGAGTGGCTTGAGTTAAGAGGATGCGATTTTAGATGAGGTGGGAGACAGAGTCTTTGAGGATGTTTCAAAAGTGACCTAAAAGAGGCAAGGGAACAAGGCGTTCACACACCGGAAAAGGCACGAAGGGTGAAGGGAATGGCCGGGACAATACAAAGGCTGAAGGGAGCCGGGAGGGTAGACGAGACTGTAGCTGCACGTGTGGAGACATCAAAACGTAGGTAAAGGCCTGGGCCAGGGAGAGAGGGACTGGTGAAAGGAGTATAGGTAGAGAACTGAGCCAAGGGCTGAGTTTCGGGGCTCAGCAGCAGCGAAGGATTAGGGAGACAAGGAGTCTGGTAGAGGACGATGGGAAGGAGCAGATGGGGAGAGAATGTCCTGGAAGGAAGTGCTGAGTTAAGTGCTATTGAGGAAGGGAGGGAGGGAGACTGACTAGGTTAGTGGGTTTGGTAACTTGGAGGTTAGTGGTATGTGAGGACAAAAGTCTCTGAATTCAAGAAAGAGCAAAGAGGCGGTGTTATAGTCCCCTTTGAGGAGGTGTCTGTGCTGGCAGAGGGGGTCTTCCACCTCTCTATGTATGTTGTAGAGGAGCTCAGAGAAATGGGGCCATGGCTGGTGGAGGATGTAGGGTCAGGGCAAGGTTTTTGTTTGATTTGATTATGTTTTTACATTGAATTCTCTCCTGGCCTCCCTTCCTTCACCAGCAACCTAAAGTCATTTGGTGGGCAGATCAAATATGCCATACATATACAGACATCACACACATGTAACTTATGGTGTATATATGTGTGGTATGTATTTTTTTCTGTGTATTATTTCTGCCTACTGAAATGGCCTGAAATCAGTGACACTTTAATAGCACTGAGCGTGCCTGGCCCCCAATTTTTCATTTATGAATACCATTCTCCAATAAAAAATAGAAGCCCTTTTGGAGAACCAGCCAATTTCAGAGCCAGGCCAGAGAAAGTACAATATGAGCCTAGAACATCTTGTTGTGCCAGAAAACAAGGAAGTGCTCAAAGAATGCTGGCGTCACATCCAGAGGACCCAAGCCAGCTGGACAGGGCCCCCATTGGCCAGTAATGATAGTAACAGATTACAGCTCATTGAATAAAGTAGAAAACCAGGGGTTTTCTATATAAGATATAAACAAATATAAAAGTCTACAGATATAAACGAATATATTTAATTTGATGAAGAATGAAACATTTACAGGCTTTTCAAAGTACTTCTTTCACAAAATCCTCATACATTGCAAAGGGGAAAAGAGTGAACTTCCCCCAGGGTTCTTCTCAAAGTAAATACTGTCAATAACAGTAGGAATTAAGTAGGAATTGACACCATATGCTGGCCAACAGGATGCGGTGAGAAGAATCCAGAGCACTGTTGTGGCTTCCTTCCAAGGATATGTAAGTTTAATTATGTGGAGACCCTAAACAACCCCAACTGAGGAGTATTTTACCAAATAACTGACTTGTAACATTTGAAAGTATCAAGATCATGAAAGCCAAGTAAAGACTGGAGAATTGTTCCAGTTAAAGAGACAACTAAATTAAGGTCATGGGTCTAAGTGAGTCTTTTTATTGTAAATGACATTATTGGGACAACAGATGAAATCAGATGGAGTCTGAGGTTTTGAGTCTATACTTTCAACCACCCTGTTACTTTGTGATAATTTAAAGAACACAGTTGGAAAAGATGGATGTTATTTCAGCATGTTTATATGCCTGGATGGAGCTGATGGAGGAGAGGAGGATTGAGAGTTCAAGTGTCCTCATAGGCCAGAGAGAAGGGTTGACTTTGTCTGTGGGCATGGACCACTTAATCAGTTGAGTGAGAGAAGAAAAAGCAAATGTAGGCATGGGGTGGTAGATTTGATGGTGAAAGAATGAAGAGATTCTTCTCTGACTGATTCTCTTTTCTTAGTGAAGTATGGAGAAGGAAGGGATATTACCTTTGAGTGGCAAAAAGCAGATTGAGGTGTGTCTGTATTATGAAGAATATCAGAGATTTTGGATGGGTTGGTTGGTTTTTTAGTTTTTTGTTCTTTCTTCCCCTGGAAGTTCTGTAATAAATTAATTCCCCCAGCTTCAAATAAATTTCTCAAGGAAGTATTTTTTTATTATTTATTGTTATACTTCAATAAATATGCAAACAGGTTAAAGGAAAAAATGGTAAAAAGAAGGAATCAGAGGTGAAGGTGTGGTTAAGAGACATGGGGTGACCTTTGAATGTAGAAACCATTATTGTATCAAAGGGGTACCCCGTTTGTAGAATGAGTGGGTTTGAGTTTGAAATTCTCAGATCCACTGAAGATTCTCATTGCTCTAATATAGTATATCATTCCATTTCCTTTGGCAATAAAGGTTTTCTTTCAGGAGACGAATGGAACATTTTAACATGTTTAATATTTTCACTTTCATGCATTGGAGAACTAAATGGCAACCCACTCCAGTATTCTTGCCTGGAGAATCCCAGGGACGGTGGAGCCTGGTGGGCTGCCGTCTATGGGGTTGCATAGAGTTGGACACGACTGAAGCGACTTAGCAGCAGCAGCAGCAATATTGTAAAATAAATTTAGGTGCACGGGGATCAGGAAAAGACTGTATAGTGGGACTGAGTCTGTCTTTCTTTCCTATCATTCACACACATTTAATCAGTATATGGTTCACTGATAGAAGTGAGTCCCCAGCTTTGTAATGAAGCCTTTCTTTTTTTCCTTTAAAATTTTTTTTGAATGCAACTGTGTGCTGTGTCTCTCATATCCTGTGTTCTGACACTCACTTCAGCTCTCCTCGCCTCCCTCCAGGCCGGTGAGATTGGTGAGATGAAGGATGGGGTCCCAGAAGGAGCGCAGCTTCAGGGACCAGTCCATCGGAATCCAACTTACCGTGCAAGGTACCGGAGGTAGGTGACGTTGCCTGCTGACTACTGACCAACTGAAGAACTTGCCAGTGACAGTAGGGTGGTTGGGGTTGTTGCAGGTCTGTTTGTTTTGGATTTATTATGTAATGAGAAGATGTGACTGCTTTGACTATATGTCCAAGGTTTGGTGGGGCTCTGCAATATATGTGTTTTTAGATGGCTATGTGACATTTCCCCTGTTCCGTAACAACTAAAATTTCTAGTTATCCCTTTACCAAAGCATTCTTTGTTTCTGATTACTTTCACATGATGTAAATTCACACTTAATTTTTATTTTATTATATTTAATGAGATGAGAGCAACAGAGATTAACTGATAAGTTATTCAGTGGTAGCGCTACACATGGAGGAAGAATTGGCTGCCAGCATGTATTTGTGATACAGTAAGTCCCCTACATGCCAATGAGTTCTGTCGAAGAGCATGCCTATAAGTCCAGCATGCTTCGTTCATAAGTCATAAAAAGTTAGCCTAGGTACCCACGTAACACAATCGGCTAGACAGTACTGTACTATAATAGGTTTATAATACTTTTCATGCTAATAACTTGTACATAAAACACTATTTATTTACAGGGCAGCAATGGAGAAACAGACATAGAGAATAGTCTTTTGGACATGGGAAGAGAGGAGGAGAGGGTGAGATGTATGGAAAGAGTAACATGGAAACTTTCATTACCATATGTAAGATAGACAGCCAACGGGAATTTGCTGTCTGGCTCAGGAAACTCAAACAGGGGCTCTGTAGCAACCTAGAGCGGTGGGATGGGGAGGGAGATGGGAGGGAGGTTCAAAAGGGAGGGGGATATATGTATACCTATGGCTGATTCATGTTGAGGTTTGACAGAAAACAACAAAATTCTGTAAAGCAATTATCCTTCAATAAATTAAAAAAAAATTTTTAATCTTATAGTACAGTACCTTGAAAGTACAGTAGTCCAGTCAGTACAACAGTTAGCACAGGAGCTAGCAAGAAGTGACCAGGCAAGAAGAGTTACTGACTGGAGAAGGGCGAGGAGGTGGGAGATGGTGAAGCTGAAGAACTGTCAGCAATGGGAGAGGGAGGGCAAGCACATTCGCATCTTTGAAAGTTTGCAACTCTGAAAGTTTGCAACTCGTAGGGGACTTGCCCTACTGAATGTTCTGATAATGAAGTGGTCTAATGCAGGGGTTGAATCAACTAACTTCAGATCCAGTTGTCTGTGTTTAAATTCCCACCCTATGACTAGCAGCTCACCTGTAGCTGTATCTCCTTTTCATAAGTTTCAGGACTCCTCTTAGACGGAGTCACCAGGTTCATAAAATGGACAATAAGGAATATTCCACAGTTGTCAGTAAGGTTAGATGTACTCTCAGGCATTTAAGATAATCAGAATGTTGCCTGATATATAGTAAGCCCTTGATAAATTGATTATTACTACTACCAAGGATGTTAAGAATAGTGAAAGGAGTGTTGTTTTATTTCTGCTTTATCCCTTGTGAAAATCTAATTGGCTAGACTCCTCAAGATTCATTGTGAGCTTTTTATATTGTAAGCCCTTTGCCCTGTCCTTGAAGAGCTTCATTCGCGAATGACATCCACACCCCCTTGAAGTTTGGCAAAGTGGGATTATTGATAGGAGAGTAAGGATATTACTCGAGCTCTCCTGATTGGCAGCATTCTACATTCTTTTCTCTCACAAGATTCCTTGTAATTTTAGATGCTGTCATTCTAATGATTCACTACTAAAGACTTTGGAAATAAAAGAAGCTTCATAAAAATGTCTTAAGGAAAACAGGAAAAAGATCCTGCGGATCCCAATTTTGTCAATCTCTAGCTGTGTGTGACCTTGGGGAGGTTATATTCGACCTTTTTGACCTATAAAAGCAGCAATCCTATGTGGTCCAACCAAATACTCACCTTTAAGCCTCTTGGTTTTCTCATTCTAAATCTTAAACTCACAGAATGAGCCTTGACATTAAATGAGATAATTAAATGAAAGCACAGAGCACAGGCCTCGGCACACAGTGACTAATGTTCATTTTCTTGCTGTGTCTAATCCCCTTGGTCTCCCAGTCTTCACGGCAGACTGTCCACAGAGGGCAGATACCAGGTGCTTTTCTTAATTTTTACACCCACAGTGCCTGGTAGGACCAGAGCGTATGTTCTGGAGATGTTTGTTCACTGCAAATAGTGTTCCGGTGAAGGAGGAAAATGATTGAAAAATAGTTTTGTTTTTTTTTTTTAATCTCATCCTTTTGTTCCATTTGCCACATTAGCCTTGCATAATAGGAGTAAGTCTCGATCCCTTGACTTTTTAAACCTTTAAAGACAAAACCTGCTGTTCTTGAAGGCCCTTTCCAATTGCACATGTTCTCTTTTCTCTGCTCCAGGGGCCCTCCTCGCCCACGACCTGCCGCAGCTGTTGGAGAGGCTGAAGATAAGGAGAATCAACAAGCGGCCAATGGTCCAAACCAGCCACCTGCTCGCCGTGGATACCAGCGCCCCTATAACTATCGGCGTCGCCCCCGTCCCCCTAACGCTCCTTCACAGGATGGCAAAGAGGTGAGGCCAGCTAGTCAGAGAAGATGCTGCCAGACCACCCTGGACCATGTCAGCCTTTACTGTTCTCTTCTAAGAGTGGTTTCATAGTCTGAAAACTGAGGCCAATAATATGTGTCATATATGTATCTTTATGTATAATAACATTTTCATAAAGGTATGTATATACACAGGATGAGAGAGAGAAAGAAATGCCTCGTCCATATCGCAAACCAAATATTTATATTCAACCAATTAACACTCTAGTCAGAACGGTTAGAGCTCTCCAAACAAAGGACGGCATTTTATAGAGAGGAACCTGCCTCTCAGCATGTTTTGAAAGTGACTGTATATTTTTTATGACTCTCAGCTGTGGAGAGTGATGGTGTTTAGTTGCCGTTTGGAAGCCATTCTTCGGTGGTTCTAATTTTTGACTCCAACTTTAAGAGTAGTTAAGAGTTTGCACAGTGATTTACCTCCGCGGGCAGGAAGATCCCTACTTGTAAGACCTTTCAGCCTTGAACTCTCCACTGCCGTGGAAATCGGTTCATTTCTGGTTTGTGGTTTTACTGTGTGTTTCAGACCAAGGCAGGTGAAGCACCATCAGAGAACCCTGCTCCAGCTCCCGAGCAGAGCAGTGCAGAGTAACAGCCGGCTCCCCAGGCACCTTCACCATCCGCAGGTAGGCGGCTCACGCGAAACTGATGTTCTCTTTAAATAGCACTGATTTCTCAGCGGTGGCACAGATCAGTCTAAACTAAGCCTGCAGTTCATCTGGGCCAGCCTCTTATCTCCATCAGGATTCTGAGAAAGAGCTGTTTCTGTGGTGAAATATCTCTGAAGCTGATCTTATTTTGCTTGGTTTTGGAGACATAAATGTGTAGACAGAGTTTATGAGTGTCAAAGTCATTTTTCTAGATAGACAGTTGTCAGCTATTAGCACCACTTATTTTTTGAAAGTTTTACTTTTGTGACACCTAGTGGCCAGTTTGATAATTTTAAAGTGCCTGTGTGCTTGTTCTGTGGGTTCAGACTCTGGACGACCCTGTAGACTGTAGCCCATCCGGCTCCTCTGTCCATGCAGTTTCCCAGGCAAGAAACTGGACTGGGTTGCCATTTTGTCCTCCAGGGGATTTTCCCAGCCCCGGGATCGAACCTGCATCTCCTGCTTGACAGGCGGATTCTTTACCACTGAGCCACTAGGGAAGCCCAATGCGCCTGACAAAGCTTCATTTTAATAACAGAGGACTGTGATCTGTGGAACAAACAGGAATTTGTTTTTCCTTCCCGTTTCCCTTTGATAGCCGGCATTATTTATGTGCAGTGCTTGAGAGCCCTGGGGTTTACACGCCCGGTGCAGGATCTACTCCTCATTTGCTTGAATTCTCTTGAGCAGTTAGATTATCCTCTGCCACAGTTCTGTCTGCTGCAGGTAAAACAGGGATATTGACTGGTCTGGGTATTGCAAAGACAGACGTAGTGATATTACACATATGAAGTACCGAAGCAGGGTGTGGCAAAGAATAACCTGTCCATGAAGTTAGCTTGTTTTTCTTCATTATTTCTTCCTGCTTTTTTTCTGTCTTCTTGCTAAAAATCTTGGAAATTGTATTTGTATAGGTAGAAATATACTGGAAAGACTGACTCAGCGAGTCTTAAAAGAATATATAAGCCATAGTTGGTTTCAGTCTGGGTTTTTCATCTAATAAGTCCTGAGAATTTGATTTTTTAGTATTTCTTGGTTGTTGCCCTTTTCGTGAAATAAATAAGGAAGTAGCTTTTAGTTAAAAGGGTTTTAAGCTTACAGTAGTAGTGTTATTTTTTCAAAAAATTAATATTTCATAAAATTTTAAGATTTTAAGTTTCTACATTTTAAATGCCATCTGCTTTTATATGCAGAGGTTTGGATTTAAATTAGCCTTTCACATGGTAAACAAGTGCTATGCTGAAAATATTGTTTTGTCTCTAGGTAGCATGGGCAATTTATCATGGAAATAAATTCCATATTCAAAGTTTCTTGCACAAATTGACAGGATTATATGTTGATCATTTGGCCATAACCTTTTACTTGGTAACATTATTTCTAGGTATTGTTCCTAAGGAAATAATCCAAAATACAGGGGGATAATTTCTATTATAATATAGTATTGGAGGAGTGGTTAAATATTGAGATATATCCGTATTAGGAGATACTGTATAACCACTGAAATGGTTATGAAGAATTATCAGTGTTATAGTATCATTTATTTGAAAAGGCTTCATGATGATAATTTTCTTTTTTATAATTTTGCAGAATTTTTACCATTATGCACTGAGTGTTCTTATTTATAAAAATGTTTTATTAGAAAGTTTCCATTAAATTCATGTTTCAGTTTACAAATCTCTAAAAGGTACACATGTAAGATTTTGTTTTGAGCTTTTGAAAATTATTTTTTGAGCTGCATAAAAAACAGGTAATTTGTGCCTTTTTATTCTTTAACCCTTGGTTATCTTGTCACTCTTAAATAAAAGTCTGATGTGAATATTTTCCAGGTGACTTAATTAATGACCATTCAAAAAATAAAGCGAAAAGCAGACCATGACCTTATGAACACCAAAGAAACGTCCAAGCAATAAAGTGGAAGATTAATAACCAAGATGTGGACATTAAAATGTTTACTGCACTTCTTTACAAAACAGACAACTACACAAGGAAAGTGGCAGCCATTTTTTCCAGCATCTGAGATCCTGGGAACGCCTGCACATTACAAGAGAGCGACCTCCCCAGTTTCAGCAACCACTAGGTTTATATTTTTTTCCTGGTTTTTACTGTTTTGGTAATATGAATTGAAAGAAGAATTATTAATACCACATGGGGAGACCCCCCCCCCAACCAAAGAAATCGGAAATATATAGTAAATGCTTTTTTTTTTCCTTTTCTGTTCATTTTGGATGCTGGTGCTAAACTTCGAAGTGTCATGATTTAAAAAAGAAATTTTATTCCCTTCTTATTTATTTCTAGGATAAGGGGAGGGTAACATTTTGCTTTCTTATGTAACTCTCTTTGAAAATGTGCAGTACGAAGTTCCGCAAAAATAAAATTTTTACCCTTGAAAGGAAGGATGTATAACTGGCGTATGTTTTTCTATCTGAGCACATGTTTTTGTTTTTTTTCCCTTTCTTCACTCACTGAATAGTAAGCTCAAAGCCAAGTGTACAGGTGAATTTGTGCTATTTAGTAAATGTAGCGGCCTGAGCTGAGAGCAGAGGAAATGGGATTCTTTTTGGAATGAACAGGTTCACTTGTGAGCTCAGCACTAGGCATGTCTGGTGCTCTCAGCTCCTGAGTCATCCTTGCTGAGGTGGTTGATGACATTTCAGTCAACAACTTCCTTTAAATTATTGAAGGGGTTAGTAGTGCTAACATCTTTGAACTTCTAACTGTAACGGCTTTCCACACCAACTGCTGTGTCCTAGTTGTGTTCCTGTGTCTTTCCGAAAAGAGGAAGGGGGCTTCTTTGCAGCCGCCCTACAGATTTCTTCCCCCGGGGAGTAGATGGCGCCCCCAAGTGGAGAAACACTACGGCACTACAGTACATGTCAATTCTATGTAGTCACTTCTCAGATCCGCTGTACCTATCAAATGATTTATTACTTAAATCAAGTACCTCCCAAGTCTGGGTTTGAGCACTGTTCTAGGGGCACAAACCCACAAAAGACCCCCTGAGTTTGTGTGTGAGTGAAGTCTTCTGTTATTGGGTATTGAAAGTTCCTAAAAACTGCAGTGATAAGCACTTTATCATTCTAACACCCTTACCTCTACACACCGTCCATCAGGGTTATAGCTATTCTAGAAGAAAAAAAAAAATAAGTGCAAAGAATTGGAGAAAAAAGTCTAAACTTCAGTAGTGTGTATAACTACAACCCTAAAACACACTGGTTGGAGGTACAGAAGACAATACAAACTGGATGTGATACAAGGATGGGCCTACATTCTTTTACAGCGCAAAATCAGGGAGTTGAATTTCTTTGCCAAGAGATACGTGGTGCCTGGGTGGAAGCACAGCTAGAATTTAATCAGAGGCTGTCATACCACAATTAACACACTAGCTATGATTGGTATTAACTTGAAGCTCCAGAGTTTTGCCTGTTTGAAACAGCACCTACTGGCAAAGTAGCCTACCGAACTCAAAATATTTGAGTGCCTACTCTGTGCCGAGTGATACCAGGTCTCTTCACATCACAAATGAACTGCATCCACATCATTGAGGTTCCTGGGCTTATTGCACAGATGCGGTTTTCAAAAGTACTTTTGCCCTTAGGGGAATGAAGAGATGTATTTGTAAAGACTAATACTTAGAGATTTTGAAGTAATAACATTCTTTGAATCTTAGAATTTCACACATTAAATCCCAGAGGAGTACTTGATTGTGGTTGAAAAGAGGAAAACATCTCTTAACTTTGTGTGTTAGTCATTTTTTTTTCCTTTTCTGTTCATTTTGGATGCTGGTGCTAAACTTCGAAGTGTCATGATTTAAAAAAGAAATTTTATTCCCTTCTTATTTATTTCTAGGATAAGGGGAGGGTAACATTTTGCTTTCTTATGTAACTCTCTTTGAAAATGTGCAGTACGAAGTTCCGCAAAAATAAAATTTTTACCCTTGAAAGGAAGGATGTATAACTGGCGTATGTTTTTCTATCTGAGCACATGTTTTTGTTTTTTTTCCCTTTCTTCACTCACTGAATAGTAAGCTCAAAGCCAAGTGTACAGGTGAATTTGTGCTATTTAGTAAATGTAGCGGCCTGAGCTGAGAGCAGAGGAAATGGGATTCTTTTTGGAATGAACAGGTTCACTTGTGAGCTCAGCACTAGGCATGTCTGGTGCTCTCAGCTCCTGAGTCATCCTTGCTGAGGTGGTTGATGACATTTCAGTCAACAACTTCCTTTAAATTATTGAAGGGGTTAGTAGTGCTAACATCTTTGAACTTCTAACTGTAACGGCTTTCCACACCAACTGCTGTGTCCTAGTTGTGTACCTGTGTCTTTCCGAAAAGAGGAAGGGGGCTTCTTTGCAGCCGCCCTACAGATTTCTTCCCCCGGGGAGTAGATGGCGCCCCCAAGTGGAGAAACACTACGGCACTACAGTACATGTCAATTCTATGTAGTCACTTCTCAGATCCGCTGTACCTATCAAATGATTTATTCCTTAAATCAAGTACCTATCGAGTCTGGGTTTGAGTCAAGTACTGTTTTAGAGGCACAAACCCACAAAAGACCCCCTGAGTTTGTGTGTGAGTGAAGTCTTCTGTTATTGGGTATTGAAAGTTCCTAAAAACTGCAGTGATAAGCACTTTATCATTCTAACACCCTTACCTCTACACACCGTCCATCAGGGTTATAGCTATTCTAGAAGAAAAAAAAAAATAAGTGCAAAGAATTGGAGAAAAAAGTCTAAACTTCAGTAGTGTGTATAACTACAACCCTAAAACACACTGGTTGGAGGTACAGAAGACAATACAAACTGGATGTGATACAAGGATGGGCCTACATTCTTTTACAGCGCAAAATCAGGGAGTTGAATTTCTTTGCCAAGAGATACGTGGTGCCTGGGTGGAAGCACAGCTAGAATTTAATCAGAGGCTGTCATACCACAATTAACACACTAGCTATGATTGGTATTAACTTGAAGCTCCAGAGTTTTGCCTGTTTGAAACAGCACCTACTGGCAAAGTAGCCTACCGAACTCAAAATATTTGAGTGCCTACTCTGTGCCGAGTGATACCAGGTCTCTTCACATCACAAATGAACTGCATCCACATCATTGAGGTTCCTGGGCTTATTGCACAGATGCGGTTTTCAAAAGTACTTTTGCCCTTAGGGGAGTGAAGAGATGTATTTGTAAAGACTAATACTTAGAGATTTTGAAGTAATAACATTCTTTGAATCTTAGAATTTCACACATTAAATCCCAGAGGAGTACTTGATTGTGGTTGAAAAGAGGAAAACATCTCTTAACTTTGTGTGTTAGTCTCTCAGTCTTGTCTGACTCTGTGACCCCATGGACTGTAGCCGACCAGGCTCTTCTGTCTACGGAATTCTCCAGGCAAGAATACTGGAGTGGGTTGCCGTTTCCTTCTCCAGGGGATCTTTCCGACCCAAGGATCGAACCCAGGTCTCCTGCACTTCAGACAGGTTCTTTACCATCTGAGCCACCAGCAAAGTCTCTGAATCTTAGAACTGACACTCTAAATCCCAGAGTAGTACTTGGTTGTGGTTGAAAAGAGGAAAACATCTCTTAACCTTACAAGAATGACTTTATATATATATAAAATCATTTTATATAGGCATCATATATTTATGTAATAGGTAATATATATATATATATATATATAGGCATCAATGTCTTAATAGGAAATGTCTAAAAAGGAAGCAGGTGCTGATAGAAATCTCTGAAAACTGGGTAATCTTGCCAGAGGAAGTGGTAAAGACTTTTTCACCTTTGTGATTTCCTCAGGGTGAAAGCATTTCATTTTAGCTGATAAGCTAGATCCAGAATCATCCTGATTTTCGGGATGGGGGAGAGGAAGCTCTAAGGGAGCTGAAACCCACGTGGGTAACGTGAACTCTACCCCCGCTCCTGTAGTGTGGGCAGTATTCCTTTAGGAAGGGTATGACGTGGAAACATGTAGTGATGTGGAAGCCTGAGATGAAAAATGGCATTAACATGTCTGCGTTCCTCAGGGTAGTTAATTCTAGCCGCTGTAACACACCATCTTACATTTCAGTGGCTTACTATAACACATTTTCTTCTTAAGGACGTGTTTGAGTGGGTGGCTCCCCTGGATAATTTTCCTCCCAGTGGCTTTTTTACCATCTGAACCACAAGGGAAGCCCTTCCCAGTGGCTTCTTAAAGGAATAACATCTCTTCCTGTGCTATGGGTCTGCTGTCCTTAATACCTAGTTTCAACTTGTCCTGTTATCAGCCAGCCAGTAGATGGAACAGTCTTCACTGTTTTGAAGAATTAGAAAGGAAGGTCAGTAAAAATAAGATACTAGTGAAGGGGCAGGGGCTCCACGCAATCAAGCACAAATTTTGGCAGAGGGTTGCTGCTAATCATGAGCAGCAAATATCTCAATGATTTTAGCGCTTTTCTAGATAACAGAAGATGCAAGAAACTGGGCTCATAAAGTCATCTGAAAATATCTTAACTATGTGAGTCCTGTTTGCTAGTTTTTTCCAGAGCATGGAGAGCCTCATTCCTGGTGTCCGCTCTGGACTCCTTTTAGGTGTGTGGAAGGTCAGGGGACTACTGTGGTCAGGGGCTTCATCCGTGTAGAGCCAGATGGTGAGTGACAGTTTTTGGTTGGCAGCATCTACTGTTCTTTCAGGGCTTCCCAGGTAGCTCAGTGGTAAAGAATCTGTCTGCCAATATAGAAGATGCAGATTTGATCCCTGGGTCAGGAAGATACCCTGGAGGATAAAACGGCAACCCACTCGAGTGTTTTTGCCTGGAAGGTCCCATGGATAGAGAAGTCTGGTGGGCTAGTCCCTGGGGTCGCAGAGTCGGACATGACTGAGCAACTAAGCGTGCACCCATCGTTCTTTCAATGCCTGTGTATGTTAGTCGTGTCCGACTCTCTGCGACCCCATGGACTATATAGACTGCCAGGCTTCTCTGTCCATGGAATTAGCCAGGCAAGGATACCAGAGTGGGTCGCCATTTCCCCCTCCAGGGGATCTTCTTGACCCAGGGATTGAACTCAGGTCTTCTGCATTGCAGGTGGATGCTTTACCAACTGAACTACTAGGGAAGCCCTTCTTCCAATGCCCAAGACACTTCATTTAGGTGTGAGGCATCACCACAGCGAGTCTCTTGCCAACTGTTTATAGCTTCCATCAACATTGTTCTGCTTTCACGTGCCATGCAAATCTTCTCCATAAGCCTTAGGGCCTGTGAAGCCGTGTACTATCCCCTGCTGCCCTCCTATGGTGAAGATGGATTGTTTTCAGATAAAGTTGGAAGAATCCATTTGCCTCACTTTTCTGTTAACTTCCCCTGAAACAGCTCTAAAGCAATGTTTGGAGCAATATCTAGCAATGTCTTAGGTAGACCCAAGGTCTATGG